ATTTGCGTGTCATCCTTGCGCAGGGGCCATGCTAATCTTCTCTGTATCGTACGAATAAGGACACGTGCTACTGAAGTAACATGTGTCCTTATTTTTTCTCCTTATTTTTAACACAGTTTCACTCAAGTACAGAGTTCTTTGTAGATATGTTATAATTTCCATACTCTCTAAAGAAGAGAAAAAAGAAAAAGAAAAATATGTGCGACATTGTTCACAAGTGGCAATAGATAGTAGCCACAAGGTGATAAAATGTCCAGGCAACCAACCATCAACCATTAAAACAGGATTAAATTCACTCTGAATGAAAACAAATGCAGTTGTCAAATGAATGAAAGAGTAATGCTAAATAGAAAATAGAAACAAGTAAAAAAAGAAGGACAGTTGTTACAAAAACTTTTTTCTCTAATGATTGGCAACCTGTGCAATTAACATTTTACACCTCAATGACAGGCTAAAGTTGCTGACATGGGAAGGCCCAAAGCAAGAGAAAACACCCAGATAGGTGTGGATACCTAGGACAGATGTTTGTTCATGTACAACTTTTTAGTCCATTACGTGTCACCGTTGCATTGGTACCTTTCAGTGTAGTAGTAAAAAAGTAAATGACCACTAGAATTTACATCACACCAAGAAATCTGCTTAAAGATACAGTAATAACACTAGTGTAAGCAGTGCTCTGTGCTATTGAAATTAGGACAAAGTGCTGCTATATAGGTAGGGATGGGTTCTGACATAAAGCAGAGCTACAGATTAAAAATGCCCAAGGCGTAGTGGTCAAAAGTCTGGCTGTACTTCACAGCAAAAGATGCCAACTCAGCAGCCTGCAACAAGTGCTTTAAGCTGATACTGTGCAAAGGAGATAACACCTCGAATCTGATGAAACACCTGGCAATGCATAGCATTTTTAAAAAAGCCGAGAAATGCACCGTATTTGATAGCTTGCTGCAAGACCTCACACCGAGCACATCTACTGTGGGTGTGGTGCCTGTTTTCTGACCCGGAGTTAGCAACATCCCCCAAGAACCCGAAGAGGAGAGTCGTGGCCCCTAGCCCTGCCAGTGTAGCAGAAATTATGATAATTTACGTTGAGTAGGCTAACCATGTTATTAAATTAATGCATGTAAGGCGAACTAGCAAACATCGTCGTAGTTAGATGAGGCTGTCTTCTTGTTTGATGGCAGATACTCCCTTCACCCTGGCCAAAAAGGCTAAAATGACCAAAGGAAAAGTGGAAAACACCTAAACATGAGAGGTTTTTGGACAAAGTTTGTGTTTATTCCATTGTTTAAGCACTGCTTCCAGCCAAGAGTGATACCTTATATGCCCTATAGCTACAGAAAAGGCTAACATTGTTATCTTTTTACAAAAAAACAGCTGAACATGAGAGGTTTTTGGACAAAGTTTGTGTTTTCCATTCTTTAAGCAACGGTTCGAGCACCATTTCAAAAGTACCGGTTTCGCTCCGGTAATGGATAAAGCCTAAATGACACCCATTCCTATATATAGGGCTGTGCGATATGACCAAAATCTAATATCCCGATATAAGACATTTCCCGACAATGATATATATCACAAAAATTTTACATTTTCGGTAAATTCTGTGAATCTCAGGCAACTCAACTTGCGTGAAGTGTTTTAAGCTGGGCGTTGTGTACCTAGAGTCGAGTGTTACATAAGTTGAAATGGCCGCAAATTTCTTTGTGAGTATTTATTACATGGCGTGCTGTGGGGAAAAGCCTGTTCTAAGGTTTATTTTTTAGCACCTGACGGCTCTTTTTAGCTTCTCGTCCGTAAACACTCTGCATACTATTTCACGTGATTCGGTTTATTTTGAAAAATCTCAACAGGCTCTTGAGCTTTATTGTGAAAGGTTTATGTGGAAAATAAACAAGCAAACGGTGGAGCCACACGATGGTTTTATCGTCGCTGCTGCTAACGACAATGCATAAAACCAGTGGCTTGTCAGTCCGTAGTGTGGTTATATAAAATAAGAGAAAGAGAGAACTTTAAGGAATTCTACAGTGACCATCAAAACGATGAAAAAATATTGCCAGAAACAGTTTATTTTACAACACCACGAAACAAACGATAGCATAATATGAAGTAATAGACTTTTTTCATATCGTCATCCGATATATATTGTTGTATCGAACAGCCGTACTGCTATCTATAGCAATAGTTATAGAAAAAAATTTATGTATGCTGAAAAGGAGAAAAAGGAAAGCATGAGCAACAAGGAAAAAGAACGGGTGAAGTTAAAGCATTGAAAAGAGGAAATAAGTTATGTTCCATTGCAGTAATGTTCATTAGCAGATACTGCACAAGCCAACAGTAAACAGTCTGCTTTTGTTTTATTCATTATTCAAAGGCATCAGACACCACAGAGGAAAAACCATAATGATTCTGGTTCCTGATGTGAAAATTGCTGGTGTCTAATTTGCCTACGGATTTTCAGGTGGAGCAGAAATGGAAACGGAAATGGAAATACCTGACATTCACTTGTTTTAGTTTAAATTTGTATACGCAATTCCTGGAACCAGGAAGATGACCAAATTACTAGTAAAGAAATAGCTGTCAATGGATTTCCTGTTAACCAGCGGCTTAATGATCTAATCAGCACTCAGACTTTAGAACCATCCCTGGTTCAGACTTCTCATCTTGCCGATGCTCCACCACTCCACCAGGTTGAAAGAAATTCAGCCTGGTAGTTTTCTTTCAATCTTGCTGATTAACAGACAAACTGCAGTAAAGCGCTTGTCTGGAAACAGTTTTAGCTATCACCTAAAAACCAAAGAAGGAATCTGCTCAACTCATTGAGCCTGCACTGAGTTAGGTGTCTCACACCGTCATTACTCTTGTTTTATGAACTCTATTAGTTATTTCTGTTTTTTGACTAACAGAACTCTCCAAGCCAGAACTCCTGATTGCCTGATTGTGCTGGCTCACAGACTTTCCTTAGAGTATTGCGATGATGACCAGGGGCAATAAACCGTGCATGTTTGAATATTTTGACTCCAAACTCCTCTGTCTCTGGCAGTCCCGGGTGCATTCTCTTAAGTACATATTTACGGATAAAGATTAGTTGTAGATACCAGTTCAGTTTATATCTGACACCACAAAAGTATTCTGTGTGATGTGTCACTGCTGCAGCAGATGCCTCTATCATCCAGTCTTTCACTTCACTATATAAACACACCAAGGTGGAATGGAGCTGCAGGAAAGAAAAGTATGGAGGAATGCGAGGAATGCCAAGCTTCAAATGAAATCATGCACTATTCTACTGAAGGAGGAGGGAGAAAAAGAGGAAAATGTATTCTTCTGACGACAAAGATGAGGTTAGAGATCACGCTTTAACTGTCACTCTCTGCCTTTACCAGCAAATTCACTGGGCTGTTTTCAGTGTTACCAGTCTTGTCACGATCCTGAATACAATGGCAGCACACACACAGACACAAACCCATATACCCTAGCCCCAACACACACCCCCACACACACACACTTCATTCCCTTTTGCTTTCTTTAACAAGTCCACAGACTGAAGCCAATGATATGTAAGCTGTGAAGCTTGAATCTATATTACACATCCTAAAAATAACACTGATGGACACGTCAAACAGTCCATCAGTCCACCATGATCGTTTATTAGTTTGGTCATGTTTCCCACTCACAGTATTAATTGATGAACTGAACAGATCGATCACAATACTAGCAGGCTGCGACAGTTACATTCTACACTGTAGGTTGTGTTGTAGGGTTTCATAGGGGGTTGTGGTTATGATGGAGCTAAAGTGTAGATTTCCCACTTATTCCATGGTCCCTGGAGAGGTGATACTTTAAGAATTTCAGCTAGAAAACAATGACAAGGAAACTTGCTATTTTCTAACTCTGTTAACTGGCCAGACTGTGTAAAACAGCAGGCTAAGGTAACACAATAACTAATGTTATGGATGTAGCTTAAAAATAGTTGTAAAAGTGCATGTTAAATAAAAAGTGCTGCTTAGCTGTAGCAGCGGGTCAACTTGTAAACTGCAAAATGGGTGGCTATTAGAATTTCCTTTAACTAAAAAGGAATTCAACCAAAATATTGCAAATACTGTATGGTAATTTCTATATTTTTTTTTACAGTATTTGTACTATACAGTATAAATACTAAATGTATATATGGTCATTTGATATTAAAAGATATATATGTGTAAATACAATATATACACATACAAATGAAAACAATATGTGGTCATGATGAGGGACAGTGGCGTGCCCTCATTATGAGGCGTTTCTGACCATCTAGCCCACCTCACGTGTCCCTGCAGGTCTGCAAGTGTATATCAGGAAGAAAAGAGGACATACCAGGGAAGCTCTGCCATAGGGCCACAGGTCTCTGGTCACTAAATCGTTGCTAGTCAATTCTTGTGTGAAGTCCCATTAAGCCAACAGCAAATGTTTATTGTGAAAAACATTTGTTCATGTTATCCCCTACAAAAAAGAACAGTTTCCAAAACTTTTACAGTCTTAATAACCACTCAGGAAGGCTAGAAAATCAACAAGCCACACAGAATTTGTCACTCTAATGAGGCCCAATTAGCATCTCATCAGACAAAGTACTGTGTAATCTAAACAGATTTACAGGGTGTTTTAGATCTCTGTACACTCGCCATGTACCTCACATGTTGTTGAATTCCTGTCAGAAATGTCACACTCCTCTCAGAACTAACACAAATGTCTGACCATCAGACACTGCCATCCTTGGAGTCACCTCTAATGTGCTGCAATTCTGAATACCAAACAATATTGCAGGGACACTGATGTTCACACAGACTGTCATACAGCACGGTTTAAAAACCTTGAAGAAAATCAATCTGATAAACACTGTGTTTCCTTCTTGATAACAGGTGGCGATGACTCTCGTGCAGCAGTAGAACACTCACTCTAAGCGCCAGCTGATGCTGAGCGTGAAAAGAGGGGAGGTAGTTAGGAAAAGACCGAGCTCCAGTATGACTCACCCCTGATATAAAGGCTGGCTTCAATCCCTGACAAGTAAAGCTGATGATGGTGGCCCTGTGCTGCTGGGTGGGGGATGGAGGTGAGGACCAGCTGCCTGTCTGATGCCAACAGCAGCAGTGCCCATGCTGTCATAACTCATGCTGTAATCAGCTGGAACTGAGCTAGAGCGACACCAGGACACGCACGTTCACCCCTGGAAGGGAGAGGGAAGGAGGGGAGGGGTGGGGGTGACGCTTATCTGGAATCACATGTATTCATTCACACAATGAAGTCCGTTCAAGTCCAGCTGAAATGCAAGACCGGGCCTCCCAGTGACAGAAAGACGAAGTAAGTTTTGCTCCGGGTGAAATGTCCAGAACAAACAAAACGACATTGAGCCGCGTTAACCTCAGTCACGCACCACAAATCAAATTTACACTGCAATCAGCCATATGACTGTTGGTGTATCTGCAGTGTGGCTCACAGACATGTCTGAGACAAGGAAGGGTAACCTGGAATGAAATAATAACACACGTGGTATGGTCGCTTCGGATTCAGAAGCTGCTGTAGAGGATGCTGTTTACTTAGTTTTGCGTAAGCCGCACACTTCAAATACATTACAGAAATATTTAGAGTTTTTCAGTAATGTCCTTTTTAATTCATAGATTTGTTTTCCACCTCTCAAACTTCTGGTAATATTCTAAATGTCTCTTTTTATACTTAAATATTGTGCATGCATATCTTATTTCTCTGTGTAACAGACCTCCACTACCATCCAAAAACTATTAAAAATACATTAGTGAGCCATAATGTTGCACTGGGTGACAAGTTCATTAATTACGATGAACACACACACACACACACACACACACACACACAGAGAGTAGTTATTCTGACTTAATCACACATACCCCATCGTGTTGTCACAAAGATGCATTAATCCCTCACTCAAAATAGTCCCCAGTAAAATGGTAGATATTCTCATCAAAGCAACAAAGATCATTTGGCTTTATATATTTATAAAGGCTTTATATTGTGCTCTGAGAAATGTGTATAAGGGGAAAGTGGTAAGCTTGGAGTGGAAAGTTACAGACAGGGCAGTGTAGTCAGTGACTATTTAAAGATGGACTGATACGCTGTTGGATTCTGTGCTTTCATTGTACTTGTTAACTATGGAGAAAAAAAAAGAAAACTTCAAACATTGTAGCAGTCTGAATAATTCAATTCAATTTTATTTATATAGCACCAAATCACAACAACAGCTGCCTCAAAGCACTTTATTTTGTAACATAAAGAGCCTACAATAATACTGAGAAACCCATAACAATGAAACAATCCACTGTGAGCAACCACTTTGGCGACCGTGGGGAAGAAAAAAAACCCTTTTAGCAGGAAGAAACCTCCAGCAGATCCCAGTTCAGGGAGGGGCACCCATCTGCCCCAATGAACACTGTCTCGTAAACTAACAGCAGTCCTAAAAAAAGTTCATATTTTTGGGCAATTTTTGTTTTAATGCAATATGTAATGCACTTGTAAATAGGGCTGCCACAAACAATTACTTTGATAGTCGACTAGTCACCGATTACTTTTGCGATTAGTCGACTAATCAGGTCATGCATCCATTGGACGTACAGCGTACAGCTTATTGCACCAGCAGCATCTGCTCTTATATAACTATCATTAGCTTACAGCTTTAAGTGTCTAAGGTATGTGCTAACTAAAAATAAAGACAAGATGATAGTTTATTAAATTTTAATGAAATTTGCAGATTGTTTCGGTTTAATAAACTCCTTGCTATCTAAAATATAACAGGACACCGGAGTATATTCTCGAGCATCTCACACTTCTGATAATCAGTTGTCTGCTTGACGTTTATTCAGCTGTGTAAAAACTATAACTTGTAACCTTACTTGTAAATAAACTTACCCTCTTCCCTTCCTTACAGAGAGAACATTACAGCAGGAGACAGGAGGCAACTGGCTTTAAAATCCATGTACTAGCAGCTCACCGATTAACCAAATATGTAAAAAAGAAAACAAGCTTTCGTAACAGAGCTATTCTGCAGACTTCTTTTAATCTGTTGATCTTTTCATGCTCTATTTTTATATCAACTTATCAGCAGGTATGACGCTCAAAGCAATAGAGATGTGAATGAAATTTGACTATATTTTCATGATGTCAACAGATGACAAGGAAATCACACTCAGAGTAAAACACTATTTGCGCTTTGAGACGTGACGTACAAGTGATTACAAAAGAACATTAGAAAGATTGCTCTGAAGTGTTATTTAAATCCAAAGTGGGCGTTAATTCATTTGTAGCGATTTTTCAACCCAGTAAAAGAATCATCTGATTTCATTTGAAACATGACTCACTGACAAAAAAAACAGCCTTCCTATTGACAAAAAGGGAAAAGCACTAAAGATGCAAAAAAAAAAAAAGAGAGTGATTCTACAAAGTGGCATTTGTTAAGAACGTCAAGGAGCCACCACCAGTACACCACACAGACAAAGTGACTCTGGAAATGTAAATAGCTGATCGGACTCTCAGCACAGAGAAGTAAATAGCACACTGTGCCACATCAACCCATTACACACCAGGTGTGCTTAAATAATCAGCTCAGAGAGCTCAATATTTACACACTCAGTGCATTTATATATGTACACATCACACACCATGCCACCTTATATGCTCTCATATACTGTGTATACACAGAGAAAATGACAAAAACAAAAATAATTTTCTACAGAGACTTTTGGGATGCATATTTGCCAAAGTTAAATTATTTTATTAACTATTAAAGTATGAGCTAGTAAACTGTAGTTGCTTATTTTTTAGCGCTGAATCTATTTTTCATGTAATTGTCTAAGCTGTCAGAAACAGATCTCTTATTTTTGTGACAATTAAGTCTGTTCAGCTGTCTTGAGTGAGTGATGATCAGTCTGGCTTGCAAATACGTGTTCACTGTCAGCTGACATTTGGCAGTCATTTATTTTAAATATTATTGGGAGTAAACAACTCTTAAATCTGCAGTTAAGATTCATGTCTTCTGAAACAGTTTGTTATAGCTTTCTTCAAATTTCCTTAAACCCAACTCTCTTCTGATTGGCTGCCCTTCATGAATCGAAAGTTTGAACAGCGGGTGGGTGGGGCTTATGTGCTTACAGCAAAAGCTGTGTGCCTGATGTGTCCCTATCAACTTTCACTAATACTATACAGATTCGAGATCAGAAAAAGCTAGCATGCTGTTTTTGTTGGCATATTAAATTATCTCAAGATTCTTTACATATTTCTCAAGATTAAGATTAGGCTACTTTTACCTGGGGTGGTAAGGGCTGGGTTCCAGATAACAAATGCCCCAATGTAGCAAAGAGATCATAAAATATGTTTAAAGTTAGCAATTATTCTACCAGTTATGATCACAAAGTCACCTGTGATGCTAAATAACTTAAGCTAACCTTGGACCCCCCGAGAAGCATTTTATTCGAACTGCATTTTTGAAAGAACAAGATGACTCCCAAACAAGTGATGCTCAACAAGTGTTGACACATTTTATTTAAGATGATCGGAAATAATGGTGACCACAAAAAATGAGGTTACGCGAGTCAGGGCTGAGGTCCATCATAGAGACGCATAGAGAACTAAAACAACCACAGCCCATGGCCCGGCTGGCAATTAAAAAGGCACTTTCATATTGTTTTTACTTTTAATACCCAGAAACTACACCCATCCTTTATACTGTACATATATGAATGAACTCCAGTTATTTTCTGTTTTGTTATTACTGCTGTAATACTTCAGTCAAACTGTTTTTACTTGTGTAGGATCCACTGCAGGATGGACTTGCATTACTGTATAAATAAAGTACTTTATGAAACACAAGTGGGGAATTCAGCACTATGTTATCTAAATTCTGTTGGAATTCAGATAACATAACTCTGCTTTTCACCTAATGTTTTTGTGGATTGTTCATTTTTGTTCCATTGGACATCAGACTGAGATTTGCACAGGACATATTTTGCCTGTATGTGTCCTAGAACCTACTGGCTTCACTAGATGCAGATAACAAAAGAGTGACAACATTGAGCAAGTATCTAGAAACTGCCACAGCTTTAAAACCTGTACAAATGCTACAAAAGAGCATTGAAAATATTAGATAAAAAACCTTTTTCATATCACCATTGTCAAATTTTAGAAAAATACAAGTTTTTAAATTTTACTAATTTCAAATTATTTAAATCTGCCTGTCTAATATACAAAGTTATACATGGTCTGGCGCCTCCACCAATGAGTGATTTTATTAAACAAAAGTCTAGCAGTGTTGCCGGGTCTCGACTGACTCGAGCCACTGTTAGAGGTGATTGTGAACTGACATTCAGGCGGACCACCTTTTCACAGAATGCTCTGTCATATCAGGGAGTGAGCTTCTGGAATAGTCTCCCACTGTCAGTGAGGGAAAGTACAAGTCTACCCATCTTTAAGAGTCACTTAAAAGGGCGGCTGAGGGACACACCAACATGTAATCATGTTTAATAATCATGTTTTATATTGGACGGGAAAAAGTGTATTACAAAAAGGGAAACAACTGTTAGTGCAATGGGTGAACGCAATATCACGATGGTCAGGGCATGTACAATACTGGGGTTTGTGCAATATAATTGATGTGTTTCCGTTATTGTTATCTATACTGTCCTATGTGTCCACTCTCCTTGTCATTGTTTGTTCTAGTATAATGTGATCACTAGTTTTGTCCTTGTCACATGACCTGTAAATAGTGTCTCTGTATGTTTTTACTAACTTGTGTTTAACACCAACCTGCCAGAGGGTCTGCAGATGGAAATTAGCCCAAGGCTATAATGTGGCATATTTACATTTGTTAAAATGTTCATTAATATGTATTGCCCCTCTTTCTAAAAATTAAATAAATAAATAAAATGAATCCTATGGTGATGAGCTTTTCTTAAACGCAGCATTTTTACATTTTATACAACAAAATTATACAAACAAAAGAGTTTCTAATGACCCATGTGAGCTCTAGAGTGGGGCTAGTGCTAGGACTGCATTACAGTCAAATGTTTTCTGTAGTGATGGGGTGGATTTTTCTCCCCTTGGGCCAGTGAAAATTAAGGGGGCCAGTAAAGCTCTGATCTACTGGTCCAGGTGGTGAGTGGGTGGAGGAATGATACATGGGGCACGTAGGGCCCTGGAGGTCAGGGACGCCAATGCAGGAGCAAGGCTGATGACCCAGTGCGCATTGTGTGAAAGCTCTGACCCAGAAAACTGCAGCTTGTAGTTATTGTGAGGATGATGATTGTGGTGGAGGTGCTGGTGTCAAATCTTCAGTCGCAATCAGTGTTGTGGTTAATGTGTTGTCATGGAAACCAGTGTGACCCCCTCACCACCACCACCACCCACAGTACACGCACCCACAGCCCTATTTGAGCTAGGAACTAAACATTAGCATACAGTGAGACTATCAGGTTGTAACACTGCTACAGCTCACTATCCGACCGTTATTACAGCTTACAGAGGCTTTAGCTGTGTTTCAGACGGATTTTACACTTGAAGAAGAGTCACACATGACTTTTAGCAGCGCAAACGAGGCAAAAGAACCGCTACATGAACGGCGGAAAGACCCGTTACTGTAGTTATTAGGCAGGTATGATAGAGTTGCACTCACAGATAGGAAACAGCGAGACGGGGAGAACAAGCCAAATAAAGCCGTGTAACTGTTTAAGTGAGAACATTTTGGAATTAAAACCCAGCTAGAAAGTGCCGTTTTCTCCCCTAACAGCCCAAATGTAAGCACCACTCTCCACGCTGAGGTTCATAAAAAAGAAGAAAAAGTTGCTGCTTTTAAACTGCCGCCCTCAGGTAGAGAATAATTGTCTCTTAAAAAATCATTTCTAACTGACGCGGAGGCAAACGAAGACGAAAGAAAGATGGAAGCTTACCTGGCGGGGGAGTATTAATATTGTTTTGTCCCATGAAGAAAAGCGGTTAGAAAAGCCGAGCAGGCGCCCTTTCCGTCGAGCTCTCCCGGTGGCAGCGCTGGATGTGTATGTGCGGTTACACCGAGGACTCCTGGAGGAAAGCAGCCGAGCTCCGGCTGATGTCACCCGGACAGGGAGGGGCCTCACCGGGAGACATTTCCATAAGGACATGATGTCACGATGTTGCTGCTTTAAATGACTCTTCTAGAGCAGCAAGAAGCAACAATGACATCTACAGCCACATTCAGCATTCAGTGTTAGAGTCAATAAACGGCTAAGCCCAAGTGCTTTTTTAACTGTTGTTAAAAAACTGTTGTGACTGTTGTGTCACTTTATGCTTTTATCTTCATGTATATGTAGTGTTGATATTATATGCTTGTTGCTTACTTTTAGCGTCACTGATGCTGTCTTTAACTCGGAGTTAGTATTGTTACATCAAACTATGACGTTGTCTGTCTTTGAATATTTTAAAATGACTTTTAGATTATTATAGCTGACTTAAGCCAAACTTAACACATAAAGATACTCAGTGTCTCCATCACCTGGAAAAATTCCTGCCTCTTTATTATTCACTGACAATATCTG